AGCCCGTCGGGACTTTGAGTTCATTGAAGAAAGAAATAAGCGCATGTTTTTCTTCCTTCTTCAATGTCCATGACGCAACTGGAAGTTCAAACTAGCCATTCTCTAGCTCCACGGGATGCAGCTCCTTCCTGATTCCCAAGTGTTGCATGTCCAGGCATGTGGCTAGTGAATCCTTCGATGTCCCCCCCAGTGTCCATCAAGGTGTTAAGAGTGTTAGCGCACACGTTTTTAGTGATGTGCATGAGATTAAGACAGTGGCGTACACTCAGAAATGGCCAGTAAGGTAGTTTCCAGAAAACCAATTTTTTCTTCCAAACGCTCCCATCAGGCGCTGCTACTGCATTGTCCCCCTTCCCAAGGACAACCATCAGTTTGTTGAGTTCTAGAAGTATCGCAGGCCCATCTTAATATTTTGGAGCTAAGCGTTTCTCAATAGTACTGTTGAAATCTTTTCTGTTCCTGCAGTAAGGGTGATCCTTAGGTAAGAACCTACGGTGTCCCATATAAACTATCTTTGAATTATTTGGCAGATTTACCGCATCGGTGTCGTCGAAGCAATCGACACATCCAGTATAGCCTTTTGTCTTCTCTCCGGACAACGAACCTCGACCTGGCAGGTCGGTGATTGTAGCGATAAGTACTCCCTTGATCGTGACATGTTCCTTTTTGTACTCATCTCAAACATCCGGCACACCCTTTTCAAACATCTCCACTAGTTCATCGATCACTGGTTATAGAAACACATCGATGTCATTCCCAGGTTGTCTTGGCCCTTGGATCAGTAGTGGCATTTGGATGTACGACCGCTTCATACAGACCCAAGGTGGAAGGTTGTATATACAGAGCGTCACTGGCCAGGTGCTATGATTGCTTCTAACCTGGTTGAAAGGATTCATCCCATCTGTGCTCAAAGCAAACCATAGGTGCCTTACCTCTCCACTGATGTCCTTATAGAACATAGTATTGATAGTCATCCAGTCATGCCCATCGGCGGGGTGCCTCATCATTGTATCTTTCTTACGCTCTTCGCCATGCCAGCGCAACAGCTTGGCTGACTTTGCACATACAAACAGCCTATGCACCCGGGGAGATATAGGGAAATACCAAATGACCTTTACGGGACCTCCTCTGGTCTTGGTACCCTCATTGGACGGTCCTTCCTTGTACCGTGGAGCTTCACACTTGGGGCACTTGTCTAAGTCTTTGTATTTTTCTCCATGGTACAATATGCAATCATTGGAACACGCGTGGATTTTTTCAACCACGAGGCCGATGGGGCAGATCATTTGCTTAGCCAAGTATGTCTTTTCTGGCAACTCATTTTTTTCTGGGAGCATTTTCCTTATTATACCTAACAACTAATCGAAGCCTTTATCGCTCAATCCGTTTGTCGATTTGAACTGTAACAACATGATGTCGGCTTCCAGTTTGCTCATTGGACAATTCCTATACAATGGTGTTTTGCCATCTTGTCTCATTTTCTCTAGCTTTCTCAGCTGTCTTTCACTAAGACATCCGGTCTCTACATTACGTAGCAGCTGAGAAATGCCATCGTTATCCTCGATGCCATCAGCTAACGTGTTCCTAAACACATTATTAACTGTGGCCATAGGTTCCATGTTGGCACCGGGTTCCTCGTTAGCATCGTGGATGGCTACGTCAGGCATGTCCACATCATCATCGTTTTCCTGCAGAACATTCACACCAACCTCGCCATGCATAGTCCATATCGTATAGTTTGGCATGAACCCCCTAGTAATCAATTGCGATCGTATAGACTCAATTTGACGAAAGTTCCTATAATTCTTGCAATCTTTGCATGGGCAGAAGACAGGGTTCCCATTCCCAGCATGGGCTTCGGTATCGGTGATAAACTAGCTGACGCCATGCATGTACCGCTTGTCCGTTCGAGACAGATGCATCCACTCTCGATCCATCTCTGCACAAAAAAATACTGAGACAATAATTACAAAGAATTAATAAGAAATCGAACTTCATGAACAACAATTGTAGCTCGAAAGTACCATTTTTGGAAAACATTATTGTACACTAATTATTAAAAAATTGAAATTGGTAGTCCCGGCCCTGTAAATTGAAAATCATAGTAAAAACAATTATTGCACAATATTGAAGAACAACTATTCTACTCTACTTCTAAGAACTAATTATAGCATCACATACTAACAATGATGATCTTGACCACCATGGAATAATTAGCTAGGAATTTAAATGTGTTCATAGACACCAACCTTTTGGATGATGGATTCACCACAATTTGAGCCTTGCACAAATGTCCAATTGGAAAAGTGCTCTCTAGAATGGAGAAAGAACTAGAATGAGAATCAAGCAATGTAGCCATCAAAACGAAGCTAATTAAGCAACAAAATCAAAAGAGTGGATGTTTGTTACTAACCTTAAAGCAAAAAGATCAAGCCATTCTTCAAAATCCAAGCACTAGCTTCATGGTGAAGAGCAACCGCAACAATGAAGGGAAGGGTCCAAACGCGCGCCTCTATTCTCGGGATGGAAGAGAGGCGGAAGGAGAGGACGGCTGCAGCCTTTTTGTGTTGTAGGCTTATCACCATCAGTTTTTGGCTAGAACCGACAGTGATAGTGCCCAATCACTGTCGGCTCTTGGCTTAAACCGGCAGTGATGAGTGCCCGCCAAAACACTGCCGGTTCAAGCTACAAACTGGTAGTGATATGGTCCTTCACTGTCGGTTTTAGCCCAGCCCCAATCATTTTTTTATTTTCATGCTCATAACCGATAGTGAAGGTACATCACTGTCGGTTCTCACAAATCCGGCAGTGATGAGGCCGGCAGTGATGTGCAAATCTGGCGTAGTGTGATTGACAATTTGACATGGAGGTGTGGGACGCTGGGAGGATCTGACCAGGACGGTATGCGTCTTGTAGTCGATGCTGAATACTACATATCTATGGGACATGACAGGGAGGATCAACGTCGAGTTGCCCTCGCAGACAAGGCCGATCCCAGCGTAGCAGCAGTCGGCGGGCGCGGAGGAGTTGTTGAGCCAGGATGGGTAGTGGGTGTCGTGGCCGGCGCATATGGCTTTGCTGCAGGAATCAGGAATGGTGTCCGCTACGACGAGGAGGAGCTGGACGGGGAGTAGGAGAAGGAGCAGAGCCACAGGGAGGGAGAGACAAGTGACGGAAGTTAGGCTGACACCGACCGGTTCTTCGACTTTTTTTTAGCCTGGACTCCTAGTGTACAAGTTATAGTATCTGTACTCTATACAACACACTCACACCACCACACACGCACACCTCTAGAAGGTACAACCTATACACCTCAAACGTCCTTCTGGAGATCACCGAAGCCACACAAGCCTCGTAGACAACGGGCACGTCGTAGTCCCATTGTAGCGCCACGCGAGTGTCCAGGACCTGCACGAAACAAATACGGGGAAATACCCCATGTGACACCCGTTCATCCCAACTGGGAATCGAACCTGGGTGGGCACGCTCCACATCCGGAGACGTTGCCACCGCGCTGCAAGCACGTTCGCGGTTCTTCGACTTGGATGTGGAAATTTTGACATGACTGAGCCGCAAACGAACAGTGGGCAGCTGATTGCGCCTTGGCACGGCTTGTCGTCCTTACATCTCCTTCATGGCACGTACAACTTGTTCGCTTATTGGTTTCAGCCGGGGCTTATCAGTCATAGTATAGTATTTTCCTCTCACAACAAACCAGCACCAGTCGAGCTTATCAGCCCAGAAACCAACCAGCGAACAGGCTGATAGTCGAGACGACGCAAGTTTAGTCCCTAAAGTTTAGCCCCTAAAGTTTAGTCCTGCTGGGTTGTTTGGATCCATGGGCTAAAGTTTAGTCCTCTAATCTACAATGACTGATTTGCCCCCTCCAAGTCTCCTTCCTCGCACGCTGCTGCTGCCCATGAGAGCTCTCGCCATGGGCAGGCCGTGGGCACGGACGAGGAGCACGTCGTCGCGCTGGTGGTGGTAGGGGAGGGCGACGCTGCAGACCGGATCCACAGCGGATGGCGGCCGCTCGGAAGTACGCCGCTCCGGGGTGCTCGGCCACCGAGATGGAGGAGAGGGAGAGGGCGCTGGCGAGTTGTGGCTGGCGGGGCGCTCGCGGGGGCCCACATCGCCATGGCGAGGCGGGGCGCTCAGGCGGGGGCGGACTTCGGCGAGCTATGCCAGGGCAGGGCACCACTCGCGCCTGCGTGGAGCCGCCGCAGGGGTAGCGCCCGTCTCCCTTCTTCCCCTCCTTTTCCCTTCCTCCATGGCCGCAGGGGCGGTGGCGGTGTCAGCAGCGTAGGAAGCGCGGCGGTAGGGACGGCAGATGTGAGCGAGAGGGAGAGAGAGAATGGGGAGAGTGGGAAACGAGGCAGGGTCGGAGCAATTATTAAGGGGCAGCACCTGTCCACTGTGCAGTTTAGTCACTTTTAGCCTAGTTTAAGGCCATTTTGGGAGCAAAAGATTTTAACCTAGTTTTTAGCCACTTGCTCACTTTTAGCCCCCGTGTTTGATCCCCTGGCAAAGAAAAGGACTAAAAATGTAGTGCTAAAGTTTTGGCATGGAATCTAAATAGGGCCTTAATTTGTCTATGCATTACAATCCACGCTATGATATACGCTTCAAACGACGCAGATTCCTCCCTTTCCTGTCATGTCCATCTTCCGCATCTGCCCGTCCATCCACACCACTATGGCGCGTCAGTCAGCAAATCCCACCGCAGGCACGTGCTTAGTGTACAAGTACACAGAAGAGAATCAGTGCTTGCAGCGAGTCTCAAGTCTGAACAAAGTACTCTAACACCATCATACAGTGTCGTATGAGCTACGAGCACCCGTGTCCAGAAATTCTTATGTAGTTACTATTACATCTATGTTTACAGAACAGAAATAGCATTTGATGCCTGCCTTAGTTCTGCATATTATATAACAAACATTTGCATATGTGCAACCTGGTAACGCTAGCAATATTTATCAGTAGGAAAATATCTACGCTCGTCAGCTCAAGAGAACTTTGGGTGGCAATTCCAGATTACTTGTGCTTCCTTCCAGCATCTCGACGACTCTAGTCATTGTTGGCCGATCAGTCGGAATCACTTGTATGCACCACAAACCAACCACTATCATCTTTCTCACGAGCTCTGTCATCTCACCATTAATCTCAGAAGCACTGATACAGTAGTCATCCAAATGTTCATAAATCCACTGAGGGAAATATTGACTACTAGATTCACTATTTCCACCTGTATTCCTGTCCCTTGCCCCAACCATCTCAAGGACCATCATTCCATAACTATACACATCAGACTTGCTACTTATTATTCCGAATTGCTTTGAGTAAGCCTCTGGGGCAATATAACCTATTGTCCCTCTTGCACCAGCAATGGAGATAGCACTCTCTTTATTCAGGCATAGCTTGGCTAATCCAAAGTCAGAGATCTTAGGACAGAAATCCTGATCTAATAGAATGTTATGTGGTTTGATGTCAAAATGCACGATTCGAGTATTGCATCCCCAGTGGAGAAATTCAAGTCCTCTGGCCGTGCCAATTGCTATGTCAAATAATTTATCCCAACTTAGTGAATTTCCACTATTCATGTTGCTATTGAAGGCGTACCTTTCAAGCGAACCATTAGGCATGTACTCGTAAATAAGTGCCCTTTTGGATCCTTGCAAGCAAAATCCTAAAAGTGTCACAACATTGACATGAGAAGTTCTGCTAATACTAGCCACCTCGTTCATAAATTCCTCACCATCACCTTTGGTGTCCTTCAGCATCTTAACCGCTACCTGGCGGCCATCATGGAGGTTGCCTCTGTATACAGCACCAAATCCACCTTGGCCTAGCTTCACAGCAAAAGATTTCGTCATTCTTTTAACATCTGCATAAGTGTATCTTTTCGGATGTAGGTTCCCGTTCTTTTGTAGAAATGATTCAACCCTTGGTTCGTCCTTCGATTTGAAGGGCAGCAAACCATCTTTAGAAGCGGAGAAGAATTTGAGAATAACTAGACACAGGAATAGAAGTGACAACATGCCTGCAACAATACCTGCATCACAAATGAATTCAACTGCAAGGCATTCTAAAAATTCAATTTGCAAAGAAAAAATGCACCGTTAGTCAGTGTGGAAACTCATCAGATTATTGCCCAAAAGGAGGATGCAATTTATCTATATTCCTGTCATTGGTTAGTGGATTCCAGATATTTTTTTTTTGAGAATTATGGATTCTAAAACATGTCATGCCAATAATTCATTATATGCTTTTCTTCTGCTCTTTTAGACTAAATGAAGATGGGTACTGGCTATAGGCTGCGTTGTGCTTACCAGCAATAATTGCTGTTTTCCGTTTTGATCCTGTATGCCAACAAACAAAACGCAATGTCAGATTTGAGCAAGATTAAACTAATTCACGTCAAACAGAAACACAAAGCACAAATGTATTACAAAAGATAATTTCAGTTTGACTAGATTAAGAGAAAAGAATATCAAGGTTTGTATCTTCAAATAGTAGGCTTATATAAAAAATATATTCTAGGATTAATCTAGTGATAATTATTAGGCTCCGTTCGGTAGGGGCTCCTCTTCGGCTCCGGCTCTGGCTCATCCGGAGGAGGAGTCTTACCAAACAGTTTAGCAGGAATAGTTTGGAGCTGTTTTTCAGTGAAAAAAAAGGAGCTGGAGCTGTTTTGAAGGAGCCATAAATTATGATTCATCTAAAATGGCTCCGCCGGAAGGAACCCTCCCAAATACACTCTTATCACGCATCATAAAATAGTTTTTTTTATATCAGCATGATCGGAACAGCTTGATGTAACAGTGCTGCGACTGCTATTGCAGCAACCTTACCTACACCTACTGTTGTTTGTAGTATAAAATAAATAGCAACAGCCGCCACAACTGAGCAGACCATATATATTTTGTCAAATTTGAATTTGTTTGACTCATCGGCAAGCGACATTTTTCTTCTTTTTAGAAAGAGGGAGTACTTATTGAGACAGGTGGGCCCACAAGTTTTACTTAATTTTACCTTGGAATCCGCTATATGCTCATTGAGAACAATTTCCTTCATAATTGAGGTTCCTTGCAGTGGCGGAAATCTATTCTATAGGGTTTGTTTGGAATGGAGGAATGAAAAACACAGGAAAGGAAGAAAACACAGGAATAGAAAATGAGTGTAGGTAGAAAAAAGAGGATTGGAAAAACACAGGAATTTTATAGGAATGGCTGTTTGGAACACAAGGAATACAAGAACATGTTTATTCCTCCATTCTAGAGAACAAGGGCTTGCTCATCTCTCCATTCACATGTAGGAAAAATTTCCAAGAGCTTAGAGTTGAAGTTTTATTTCCTCCATTTTATGAAGGAAAGCAAGGAAAAGAAAACTTCATTCCTCCATTCCAAACACCATGTGATGTAAGCAAAACATAGGAATTGGATTCCTATAAAATTCCTCTAATCCAAACAATGGCATGCCGGTTCAACGGATGTTCTCAGTGCCAAGTCACTTGATTGGCGAAATGATGAAAGCTTGACCTAGTAGTTTGGTGGGGCACCTCCGAAGGAATCACAAAAGACCGCTGAACTTTTTCAGAGGCACATAGGGCATTGCGATCTTTTTTAATGGCACACATGGAATTCCCCAAAACAAAAGGGTCGGTTCAGAAGGACTACTTACTTGATCGTTTGCAGTCCGGGCTGCCCGCCTTCCCAACATCACACAAGCAGCCCAGGAATTCCCTGTGCTGGCTATAGGCGCATTGCCCGTTCGACGCCTCGCACAGGTGACACCCATCCTCTGTGATATGGCTCCATTCCAACTCGAACCCACGCTTAAGCACGTCTCCGTATCCACCGCTTGTGAAGTTGCTCTTGTTATAACTTGTGGCCATCAGAACATTGCCTCTCACTGGCAGTCATTGTAGCTGCTGCTATGCAGCCATGTCTCGTCGAACCTGACTTCATGGCGGACAGCAGGGCAGTCGCCGCCTGCGCCTCCGAGCACATCGCTGTCCACCAGTAGGATGGTCTGATGGTCGTAGTGGTAGGATATGTTCTCGATGGTGTAGTCGTCGCCGTCGAGACGGATGGTAGGGATCCAGGTCTGCCCCTCGAGTTTGCAGGAAATGCTCAAGTCAGTGTAGCCGCAAGAGAAGATGTTCCCGCTGTAATTGGCGATTGCTTCGGTTGCGTTGGCAAGATAGAACGGGTAGCGGATTTCGACGCCGCCGCACGAGAAGGATTCCGAGCACATGGAGACGTCGTAAGTGCTCGGAAGAGGAGGGTCGGCATGGGTAACAGGGACATGGACGGCGAGGAAGACGAAGAGGACGGGGAGACTTGGTACTGGTAGGCGAGCAGCCATGGTGGCGAGAAGGCGAGGCGGCGTGCTCATGCTCATCTGGCTGTTATGTTAGCTCCAACTAGGCACTCGTTTGGTTCCCTGCGACTTGCAGCCGCCGCCGTTTATAGGTGCCATGGACTTGACCCGGCTTCAGGTTCATAATACGATGGTTAACACCGGCTCTAATCTCTGTTGTTAGTGATTCTTATTATCCAGAACCTAATTTCATGATATCTATTTGTAAGAAAAACTGTTCTGCCTGAGAGGTCACGACTCACTAGTCAAGACTGTTTTCACATTAAACTCCATGGCAAAGTAAAAAGCGTGAGTCGGTGCCTTCTGCCTTAGTGGCACACACTTTGTCCTATTCACTTAGCTGATAAGCCATGGCTGAAAGTACTGTTGGCTGATTTGTTGTGAGAGAAAAATATTGTTTGTTGGCTGAAAAAGTACGGCTTATAAGCGAAGCGAACAGGAGAAGATGTAGTGGTCTTCTTGATTCGTAATGCCACCAGTGACTTTTAAACGACAGTACTTTCAAAAAAAAAAACTTTTAAATGACAGCGCTTGTGCAGTAGGTGTTTCCATGTTTGCACACTTTTTAATCGTTTGTCTACTCCACTAGTAGCATTATCCTCGCTCTTTCCACGAAACTGCACTCACCCGGGATGAAGAGACTAGAGAGTCGACTCTCTGCCAGTCAGGTCTACCGATCGTCCTCCCGGGATGGATCAGTCTGCAATCACCGTGACTTCGTTGGCACAGCTATGCTCCTCCTCGAGTCAAGTCTTTTGGCTGGCTCCAAGTGCAGAAGAACAACCTCGTCCGGAAGCATGGGCTTCGGATTAAGAGCATGTTAAGGCTAATTGCTAGCTAGCTAGAAAATAAAATTAGCTCCAATATGTCTCAACACAAACGTTAAAAGGTGAGCAAAATTTTTAGCAAATCTTCAACTATTAGCGAACTAGCTAGCCAACCACAATACATTTAAACTAATTTTAGCTGTAACTAGGAATAATTAGTTGTTCGGCTGATGGTTTTTATGGCTGATAAGCCGACTGATGTTGTTTTATTGTGAGAGAAAAATATTGTACCATGACTAATAAGTTCAAGCGAACCAGGCTGACTTGACTAGCTTGGGCATTAAACCAAATAAGCCATGAGTAGGCAACATAACCCGACTAAATTTACATACATATAATAATTTGAGCCAAATTTAGTTCATGCCTGGTTTAGGCTTTAGATTCAGAATTTCTAAATATCTACCAGCAGATTTCTTGTGTTGTTATCTTCCACTTTTGTGTAGTTCAAATGTCTGTTAACGTTCTGTCTTTTTTTCTCTATATACAGGCTTGCGTTGGGCCTGTATCTTCAGTTCTGTCGGCCCATGTAGGTTTTGCTGTTTCATTTCGTACGTATGACACGCGAAGTTCCTCTCTAGTTCGACTTGAATTGCGTACGGTTGCGGCGTCTGGCGGCGGCGGAGCTCGGCGACTGCGGAGCTATCGGCAGCGGCAGTGGCGTTGTTGGCTGCGGCGGCTGCAGAATTGTTAGCAACGGCGACGACAGCAGTTTTGTCGACTGGAGAGGCTGTGGCGTTATCGGCAGCGGCATTGTCGAAGGCAGTGGTTGAGGCGTTGTCGGCAACGGCGGCATCAGTGGCGTCCGCGTCCGCGTCCGCTCGTTATCTGCAGTTGTTGCTTGAAATCATCCATTGAGCTATCTGTATGTTATTGTTTTCTGCACTCTCTGGTACTTTGCTCCACAGAATGTGCTATACTGCTCTCTGCGAGTGCTACTCTCCTTCATATGTTTTGTGATTTTCTATTTGTTCTCTGTGTATATGTGTTGTATTCTGTAAGATGTTCCTTTTGGCTGGATACGTGCTGTACATGTGCTGTATTTTTTTTGTATTTTTTGTCATGTCAGATTTTAATTTTTTGAAAGTGGAAGATAACATACATCAAAATCTTCCAGAAGTTGTCATGTGACGTATATATGTTGTATTTTCTTTTACCTTTGTTGTGTGTGACATGTGACAACTTTTGATTTGCTGAAAAGTAGAAGACATCAAACAAAAAAATCTACCACAAGATGTCTAGTCAATCCGCCCATACTATGCGACAGGTTGGTTTTTTTTTTTAAGGCCCAACGGGTTAGCCTTGACGGACCACACTACCCATCAGTCCCGAATTGAGCCATTTTCCCCAAGACCCAATTGATGACCCTAGAGGGAGTGTCAAGGTCCATTTAACACAGCTCTACTTCATAGGTGGAGTAGTTTTTTTCCTTCTATTGCAAGATAGCTCCATTAATAAAGTTGAAGCTGTTTTGATAAAATGTTTAGCAAAACAACTCATCCTAACGAATGAAATGATCGTAATGCCCTTATCTTTTCTTCTCCTCGTTTGTTTTTTTTCCTCATCTCTTTTTTCCACACAGCCTCTCTTTCTTCCCCACACCTCTCCCGATGCTCCTGTGCTCTGGCCCTAAGCCCTGTGCCCCCACCATGAAAGCTCACAACGCTCGGGTGCCCCGACGGTCATGTCCGTGCACATCAGCAACCCACGTCTGCGTCCGCGAGAGCAAATCTGACTATGGCCATGATGGGACTCACGAGAGCGAGAAGGGAGCTGGGACAAGCTAGGTTTTATGTCCATCTTTAGTAAAAAAAGAATATTTTGTTGGGGGACTTGTATTTTTCCAAAACGCATCTCGCCAATTATTTTATTAATTTCTCGTACTTGTGGACATAGAACACGGGGAAATGACTTTTTTGTCCTGTCTTCAACGTTCAAAGTGGTTGTCTTCAACGGCGCGCTGGATAGGGCGAGGTCAGCGGCCTCCTACGTGCTTGTCTGTGAACAGTTTATTTGATGATCTGGTCATGCTCTAAGCACGAGAGCTAGTTCTGAAAAAAAAGGAAAATCGCAGAAAACAAAGTCCTGCTCTGATCTCCGATTTCTCTGAACATACCACTTCTATCTGAAGTTCTGATTTCTGAACATGTCACTGGCGGAGGTGACGTTCTTCGGTATGAACGGAACAACCTTTGTAGACCACCCATGCCAATCCAATCAATGAGAGCTCATCCCTCGATCTGCTTACTTATGTGGAGTCCAGCCCGAGAGAAGATCACGTGAGACGTACCAGGTGCCGTAACCTGAGTTAGTCCACTAAACTAGCTGAAGTCTCAGTACTACCAACCCAAACGTAACAAGCAACAACCGGTCGGAGATGCATTCAACACGGGGTTGAAGGACCAATGGACTGAGGACCCGTACGTAGGGCCGTAAGCTTCTCCCGCCAGTTTCTTCTGCTACCGTGAAACGAAACCAACCTCGCGAGCATTCTACGTTTCCAGGCGAGATTTTTTCGTTCTGAAAGTTGTTCCGAATGAGGCGAGATTTTTTCCTGAATGGTGATAGCCGAAGGCAGAGCAGGCGAGCGGCACCTGGCTTCAGGTTGCCCCGTGCCCAGTCCTATATGTCTTGCTGTAACTTGACTACTAACTCGAGCAGCACCTGGCAGCTATGCCGTCGACTTGTTCACTTGCTGTCATTGAGATTTGTGATACAGGCATACTACAGACTGGAGAACACTGGGCCGCCGCCGCCGCTTCTGGTTTTGACGGAACCGGCAGTCGGGTGACGTCGCACTGAATTAATTTTCCACAGAGGTCCAATCCAGGCAACAACCGAGCGCGGTGCACCTAACCGCCTTCCCTCCGTCGCACAAGCAGCCCAGGAATTCCCTGTGCTGGCTATAGGCGCATTGCCCGTTCGACGCCTCGCACAGGTGACACCCATCCTCTGTGATACGGCTCCATTCCAACTCGAACCCACGCTTAAGCACGCCCCCGTATCCGCCGCTTGTGAAGTTGCTCTTGTTATAACTTGCGGCCATCAGAACATCGCCTCTCACTAGCACGGTGACAACCATGGTGTTGCCGCACTTCATAGCCAATTCTTGCTCCAGATACCTGTCATGCTCATCAGTCATAATGACCACGAAGGAGTCTCCTGGGCCAGCACCTGGCGGACTCTTGAACTGCGTGCAGTTGATTTTGTATGCGTCGAATTCTGGCGGCACGGGACCGCGTGGGTCGCAGCCGAAGAGGAAGGTGAGGTTGTCGTTGTAGCTGCTGCTATGCAGCCATGTCTCGTCGAAGCTGACTTCATGGCGGACAGCAGGGCAGTCGCCGCCTGCGCCTCCGAGCACATCGCCGTCCACCAGTAGGATGGTCTGATGGTCGTAGTGGTAGGATATGTTCTCGACGGTGTAGTCGTCGCCGTCGAGACGGATGGTAGGGATCCAGGTCTGCCCCTCGAGTTTGCAGGAAATGCTAAAGTCGGTGTAGCCGCAAGAGTAGTTCCCGCTGTGATCGGCGGTTGCTTCGGTTGCGTTGGAAAGATAGAACGGGTAGTGGATTTCGACGCTGCCGCACCAGAACGATTCCGAGCACATGGAGACGTTGTAAGTGCTCAGAAGAAGTTTGGTCAGCACAACCGTACCAGAGCTACCCTTGAAGAGGTTTGGTTTGAACGTAGAATAGGAATAGTACTCCGTAGACTGGTCCACTCAGCACTTGGTCTTGTAGTGCAGGCAAATCGTCTTGGTTCATAAACGTATCTGCTGGGTTAACGTTCGCGGTGACAGAAAACTCCGTCGAAAATGGATTGAACTCTAGTAGGAAGTCAAGATACGCGCTGTCCTGCAAAATGTTCTAACACGGTAACTCGTCACCACAAAGAGTCCCCGTTAATCATTGTCAATCTTTACAGGACTTGCGAAGTCAGTCGTGATAGAAAAATTTCCACGTCCAGTGGAGGGACTTTTGTCACACAGTGGAGGTCTGGGTCGATCGCTTCCTTCGAAGTTCGGACTTTTGTGCCTGTGGAAATTAGTTGGCTCTGGAGACACGGAACGCGGTCATCTGTTGGGAAGCTACCCGAGCGGCCGGGAAGCGGAGTGGAGGCAAACATGCACGCAGGCGGCGGAACCGCTATGGTCGACGGCCA